TTAGCCTCCCAGGCCCCACACAAGATTTCTGTAAAGATAACTGTACAATTTTTATGGAAATAAATAGTGAGGTATACAATGTTCAGGGCTAAAGCATGAGAATATGGGGGAAGTAATGATCCCATTCAAATTAACCTACACATTTAACTCAATACCAGTGGACTCCTTTGTGGAGACAGACAAGATAATAAGAAAACCCATATGGAAGAACAGAAGGTCAAGTACATCAAAGGAAATAATGAAAACAGCAGTGGGAAGGCTAGTGGAATGGAAGGTAGCAAGCACACTGTAGTACCAGATCTCATATTATACTCTCCAGTACCCAGGCAGCTTGGCACAGTGGATGTGGAGTCAGAAGGCCATGGGATCACTGATTTCAGGCTGGCAATGGTCTCAGAGGTCCTCTACTCATTTTACAGGCAGGGAAGTTAAAGCTACATGACTTGCCCAAGGTCACACAGAAGGTGTGAAATAAATCTATGATCCTGTGAGACCAGAGTTTCATTTCAGGCTTGGCAACTTACTGCCTTTCCCTGTTGGTCTCTCACTAATCCCCTACACTTTCTGAAACAAACTACATCTATTCCTGCCTCAGTCCTCTTGCTTGTATGGTTTCCTCATAGCTGGGAAGTCTTTCCTCTTCCTTTCTGTGTCAATCATAATCCCAGCCTTCCTTTCAGGCCCCTCTCAAGTCCCTCCTTCTAGCACTGTGCCTGGCACATAGTAGGTGCATAATAAATGCTTCTGGACTGGCCGAGAATAAAAAGAATATGAGAATATTAGAATAGAGAAAATGAGTCCTTTCTTCACCTTTCCAGCTCATAGTAATGTTTCCCTCTTTTGGATGCAGACTCTATGATGCAATACAGTGTCTTATGGCATGCTTTGTAAGACAACTCTAATGCTATTTTCATTTTTCTTACATAGGAAACTTGTTCAAAAAAGCTTTTATGATCTTGGGCTTTGCTAAGAGAGAGCTAGCTTCCAGGATTCAAGAAGGGGCACAATCCTGCTGTCCTCTGTCCTGGTCAATCAGTTAAAACACATTTATTAAGCGCCTCCTATGTACCAGGCACTGTGCTAAATGCAGGGAATAGAAAAAGCGGCAAAAGAGAGTGCCTCCCTTCATGGAGCTCACAATCTAATGGTCAGATCACATTGGGAATCGTGTGTTTAGCTCTGAATGCCACATTTTAGGAACATTAATAAGCTGGAGAGCATCCAGAGAAGAGTGACCAAGATGGTGAAGAGTAATAGAGTCATGACATAGGACATCCCATGACATAGGAGGATTTGTTGAAGGAACTGGGGATAGCCTGGAGACAAGAAGGTTGTGGGTGGGGGGGAACGTGGAGGCTATCTTCAAGTATTTTAAGGGCCTTCATGTGGAAGATGGATCAGATTTGCTCTCTTTGACCCCAGAGGGCAGAACCAGGAGTAATGGGGGCTGGGGGTTCAGGGTGGGTTACGGTTCAGAGGGTCTTGATAACCGGAAAAGCTTCCTAACAATTAGAGTTATTCATGAGGGTAACAGGCTGCCTCCCATGAGGTGACTTTTCCCTCACTGGAGGGCTTTAAGCAGAATATAAGTGTATACTTGTTGGGTTAGAACACCCAGATTGGAATCAGGAAGATCTGAGTTCAAATCCAGCCTCAGACACTCAATAGCTGTGTGACCGTGACCTTGGGTAAGTCACTTGACTGATATTTGCCTCCATTTCCTCACCTGTAAAATGGGAATGATAATAGCACCTCCCTCCCAAGGGTTGCTATGAGGATCAAATGAGATAATAATTGTAAAGTGCTTAGCATAGAGCCTGGCATATAGTAGGTGCTATATAGATGTTAGCTATTAACATTATCATTATTATTATGATGATGATGCTGGGATTTGCATTCTGTATGACTTTGGACTGGATTGCCTCTGAGATCCTTTACAATTCTGAAGATTCTGTTTTTCTGTGACTGTAACCTCCTGGAAGGCAGACATTCAAGTTAGCACACTTTTTTAAATGGGGCATGTGTTATCTCTTTTTGCATTGCCTATAGCAGCTAGCTCAGTATCCATATTTACTTTAGTTGTACAATTAATGTGTTAGATTTTAGGCCATTTGAGGGCATGAGGTTTCTAGGACATCTTCTATAATATTCAAATTAGTTGGCCTGGCATGGGCAAGTCACTTTATCTCAAAGCCTCAGTTTCTTGATCTGTAAAGCTGGAGTTAATATTACTAGCAGAGAGGAAGTATGCCTTGTGGATAAATTCTTCCTCCTCCATAAGACACTTTACTTCCCTATGCCTCAGGCAGCTCCTTAGGACATATCTACTAAGTCCAAAATGGGTTGGTGGAACCACTTCCCATACCAGGAGCTCTCTCGGTGCTTCAGGAATCACAGATCCTTCCTAATACCTGTAACACCTACCTCCGTGGGTTGTTGTGAGAGTCAGTTGAGATACTATATGTAAAGGGTATTGCAGACCTTAATGCACCATAGAAATGTTTGCTAATTTGTCCACTTCTGGGACCAGCCTCAGGAAAACTGGCTGCATGTGAAGGGTCTAGTGGAAAAGTACTGGATCCAAGTTTAAGTCCTGGTTGTGCCATTTACTAACTGTGTGACCTTGGACAAGTCACTTCTCTTGGGGCCTTAGCTTCCTCATTTGTAAAATGAGTGTTGGACAAAATGATCTCCAAGGTCCCTTCCACCTGGAGGTCATCTTGTCCAACACTCATTTTTCAGAGATGAAGGGAATAGACCTTGTTCAAATTCACACAGCTAGTTCCTTCAGACTGGAATTTCAGTGAAGTCAGCAAACATGTTTTAAACTTACTATGTACCAAGTACTTTGCTAAGGGCTGGAGAAACAAAGAAAGGCAAAAACAGGCCTTGCTCTCAAGGTGCTCACAATATAATGTGCGATACAACATGCAAAGAACCATTAACAAGCAAGTTATATTAAAATGTAAATTGGAGGTAAACTCAGAGGGAAGGCACCAACATTAAGGTGGACCAGGAGAGGCTTCTTGCAGAAGGTGATATTTTAGCTGGGACTGAGGGAAGCCAGGGGGTAGAGTTGAGGGAGGAGAGCATTCCAGGCAGGGGGCACAGTCAGTCTAAATGCTTGGAGTCTGGAGATGGAATGTCTTGTACAATGAACAGCAAGAAGACCGGTGTCACTAGAGCACAGAGTATGTGAAGGGAAGGGGTATATGAAGACTGGAAAGGTAGGAAGGAGTGAAGTTATGTAGACTTTTTAAAGCCAAACAGAATATTTTGTATTTGATCCTGGAGGCAATAGGGAGCCACAGGGGTTTTTTGAATAGGAGCAGACAAGGCAAGATCTGAACTTTGGGAAGATCACTTTAATAGCTAAGTGAAGGATAGACTAAAGTGGGGAGAGAATTAAGGCAGGCTATATGGCAGTAGTCCATGGGTGAGGTGATGAGGGCCTGTACCAGGGCAGTGGCAATGTTGGGGTAGGAGGAGCTGGAGAAGAGAGATTTTAGGAAGGTAGAATATACAGGAGTTGGCAACAGATTGGATATGGATGGGGGGAGGGGCAGGGCGACTCGTTGGGAAATGGCTTCTGGGGGTCAAAATACAATGCAACAGCCATCAACCAGTACTTGAAACTTATAACGAGGTCTTGGGAAACTGCTTATGACATTATGAGGGATTCTCCAAGCAAGCCCTTTCCTCCCTTATCTCATTGTGACTTGGGAGAGGGGTGTGTGTGTGTGTGTGTGTGTGTGTGTGTGTGTGTGTGACAGAGAGAGAGAGAGAGAGAGAGAGAGAGAGAGAGAGACTGCATCCCAGAAAGCCAGGCACAATGGAAATGAAGCTGAGGCTTCTAGTATGGCCCGGGGTTACTTAACTCTGCCTGTCCAACCCCAAAGAGTCTAACTGCTTTGGAGAAGCCCAGACTCAGCATGACCACTAACCCCAGGCCCCTCTAAGGCCTTCTACCAAGCTCGCCCTAGGGAGTACCCTCGATGCTGAAACCACAGTTCCTTGAAGGATTTAGGCAGGACAAAGGGGAACCAGTCCCTTTTTTTGGTGGGTGTGGGGGGGAGGTGCTTCAAGTGGGTTTTGTAAGTACAATTTGCATGCTGTGTTGACAGCAGCTCTCTGCCAACCACCCCACAAAGGGGAGAGAAATTCCAAAGCCCCCTCGTTATTTTCTTGCCAGAGAACTCTTGCTTAGGAAAGGCCTTAAGTTTCCTCACATTGACTAGTGACCTGCTTGGCCCTATGCAAAGTTTTGTCCCTGGTGAGTCTGCAGCCCCCACCCCCTCAATCTCCGCTGGGCACGTTTGCTTGGGGCCAATAAGCTCCCTCCAATTCTTCCTTCTCAAAACTCTTGTCAGAAGGGAGAGGAAAGTATTAGGCGAACCCCTATACCACCCCTCCCTCCTTGCCTGCCCTCCCTCCCTTCGACTCTCAGCCAGGGAGGGAGGGAAAGTGAGGAGCATGTGCTCTGCCCCTGCCGAGGGCTCCCTGGCTGGCCCGCCCCGTTCTGCCCTTGGAATGGCTGGAACCCCGCGGCCCCACCCCTTTCTCCTACCCACAATTGAATACGCAAATTTGGAGTCCCGGCGAGCCAATGGCAAGGGCCCTGATCACGTGACGCCCAGCCCCACAGAGGTGAGCCCGTAAGAAGTTGGGCTGCTTGCAGTCGGAGGCAGCGCTCCCGAGAGCAGCCCGAGCGCAGGGAGACGCGGCTGCTGAGACTGCTGAAGGGGGAGTGGCGGCGGCCGAGAGGACGACGGAGAGCCGAGAGGAGAGAGAGGGGGGTGTCGGCACTGTTCGGCAGCCGGGAGAGAGGGATCGCAGGGTGAAGGCGGCTGGGGGGACGTGGACGGTGCGGTGAAGAGAGGGTCAGGATAGACCCCCTCTGTCCTGTCCCGTGCCACGCGTGCCCCCTTCAGCCCAGCGAGCCCTTTCCTTGGCTCTACACGTAGCCAGGCAGGCAGGGCTCCGGGGTCTCAACAGCCAAGATGCCGGTCCTTCTGTTCGTCTTAGACACGTCCGCTTCTATGAACCAGCGCACCCAGCAGGGTATTACCTATTTGGATATAGCGAAGAGCGCGGTGGAGATTTTCCTGAAGGTAAGAGCAGCCGGGACTTGGGGCATGGGGGGCGGTGGGGAGGCGCGGGTCGGCGGCCGGGGCAATCCGGGGCAACCCGAAGCAACCCGGAGAGGGGCGTGGCCGCGCCCGGGCTCTGGCTAACCGCCGGGTGGTCCTGTACCCCCTTCCCTCAGCTTCGCTCACGGGACCCAGCCAGCCAGGGAGACAGGTACATGCTGGTCACCTCCGAGGACCCGCCCTACTGCATCAAGGTAAGCCAAAATGCGGGACGGGACGGGGCCCCCAGCCGGGCCGTCCCGCCAACCCCAGCCCCTGCCGCTTCCCTCACTCCATTCCGCCCTGACCCATCCTAACAACCTGTCCCACCAGGGTCTGTTCCCCACTCCCCGGGGTAGAGAGAGGGACGCTGCGGGATGGAAAGACACTAAACCAATCTGGGGAGCGGGGGTGTGTGCGGTGGGTCACTACTGCTTCTTAGACTGTCCCCCTGGGTGCCCGGGCGGGGGAATGGAATGGAAGGGAAGGGCACAGTCCTCAGCTTGAACTAGACCCTGCCTGGGAAATGGCAGACATTTGTCTTTGGCAAGATGGGTTCTGCTGAGGTGGAAGGGTAGGGCGGGGAGAAATTGGGATGAGGGGAGGCCCTGCCCGAAATGCTTTGGATACTGGAAACCAAGTAAATGGCCCCTGTCCCTGATTTGCCCTTCTTGACTTGCTATTGCACACCATCTCCCTATAGCCTCCCTAGGTGTTGGTAGATCAGTCCCTCTTGCTGGAGCAACCTTCCCGCCTCTTTTTCCCCCACCCCCACCCCCACCCCCATCCCTAAATTTTTAACTTATGTATCTAAGATCACGCCACTCATCCCATGGAGCTTCCAAGACTGAGTGTCTTTGCAACTGCCAGGCATGCAGTGATCCCAGAACACAGTGCAATTCTGCAAAGCCTAGTGCGTAGCAATGGGCGGGAAAGTGAGCAAGCTAGATGAGACCCGGGACAGGTCTGTATTCCCCGTCAGGCACTTTCCTGCCAGGCAGCATCCAGCAGACACATGCACAGAATCCTGGGATAGGCAATATTCAGCAACAAGTATACTATAACACAAAGCGTTCTATTACTGTGGGCAAATAATAGGTTCCAGGAGCAACCTAGTATGCAGAAGGGGCATGACCTTGCAATCTAAAGAGATGTTAGTTTGAACTCTGCCTCTGATGCCCTGAATTCCTGTGACCATAGGTAGGTCATTTAACTTATCAGTTTCGATTTTTCCTCTAAAATACAGATAATAATTCCTTTAGGACTTCCCTTCCCCCCATAGATTTCTGTGAGAACCAAATGAGACTGTACAGAAAATATCATATAAGTGTCAGCAATTATTATTAAGGGCCCTCTTCAGAAGAGAGACTGAAAATGTTACTGGCAGTAATAGCTTACATTGATGAGGATTGTTCTCTGAAATGCTGTGCTCTTAGAATCTTAGGATGAGGCCACAGAGCTAGAATCTACTGTGAATTCAGTCCAGAACATCCTGTTCCATCTACCTACCTCCACCCCCAGCACTCCTGAGTTGGAAATGACCTGCAGTCTACCACTCTTGAAATGACTCTGAATTCACTTGTCACAGGACCTTTGAGTGTGGGGGCCCTGATCATATAGTCCTTTGCTCATCCATATGTAGGCAAACTCAGCTCTCTTCTCCTTCAACTTGTGGTATAGTCACTGCTTAGCCCGAAATCCTTTCTCTACTAGTCTTTCATCCCTGTCTACCTCAACCTACCTGAACCCAAGATTCATACCCTTCTCTTCCCTTCTGATCCATTCTGTCCTCTGGAACCTCCACTCTGTTTTCAACCAGTTTCCCTTTATCCAGATCTCTTTAGCTCATACTCTTTCCATATTTTAGAATAGAAATAAGACTTCCTTCAGAAGCTGTTCTATTACTGGCAATCCTCTCCATTAATGAGGTGCTCTTTTTCTCATGCCCCAAGACACACTGGGCCAGGAAGAGGAAAGGCTGGCTTATTCCTTGTTTCTCACAAACAAAAACAAAACTATTTTGAGGTTCATTCTATCTGTCTTTGAGGTTCATTCTATCTGTCTGTGTTGCCAGGTCCAGAACCCTAAATGCTGTAGCCATCTCCCAGTTTTCCTTTCTTCCCCAACACCTGCCCTCAAATTTCAGGATTTTAAAATACATAGTGGTGTCCCTTCAAATGTCCTGATGTGTCCCAGTTAATCAAGCTCCTGTTAAACTCCCATTACTCTTCAGTCCACCTTGGCCACACAGGGCTGGTCGTCATATCTTTGGTCTCACTAACATCCATATCTATTTTGTTGATGTGATTAAGAATTTTAAAATTCTGCCCTTCCATCTCTCCCTTTACCTTACTCCTAAACCTATTCTGCCATCCCTGTGACCTGTAGTCCCTTCACCATCCCATTCTGTTATCCCTGCTCCCCCAAGCTTTCTTTCCTCCCTCCACAGTCTTAACTCTGATTTTGTTGTTTTGTTTTAAAGACTGGGTATGCTTATCTTACCCAGGCTAGAAATGCAGGGGCTACTTTACTTGTGGGCCTGATCTCCCTTGGATTGCCTTGAGAGCTTTGATCTGCTCCAGATCAGAGGCTGGTTTGGCCTTCCTTAGGTGACCGAGTGCCCCATCCCCTTCCCACTCTCTCCCCTATCCTGCCCCCAGGGCTTTGCCACATTCCTTCAGAACTTGATCTGGACACCTGATTGACTTAGCCCACTGCATTTCCAGAGATGAGCCAGCACTCAGCTTTCCCAGTAGCTAGGACCATGGGAGTGCCCCACCACCCTCAAAGTTGACCAGTTCAATGTAATTATCCTCTACTCTTAAATCGCTGGTCTCCTTATTCTCAGTTCTTCTTTTCCCTGACCTCCCTGCAGTTTATCCCAGTGTTGACTGTCCTCTTCTGGATACTCTTTCCTCTTAACTTGCATGCTGCTATTTTCTATGTTCTCCTTCTCATTCCACTACTTCTTCTGCATCTCCTTGGCTCTCCCCAACTCCAGCTTCATGTCACAAGCTGCCTGCTGCACATCTACCTTGATGGAACCATTAAAATCTGAAACTTGTGCCTAAAACAAAAATCAGTTTAACTTTCCTCCTTAAAACAACTGCTCCTCCCAAATTCCCTATTTTTTCCTGAAGGTGCTACCATCCTTGTTGCTCAGGTTCACAATCTTTTTTTTGTTTTTTTGGCTAGGCAGTGGGGTAAAGTGACTTGCCCAGGGTCACACAGCTAGTAAGTGTCAAGTGTCTGAGGCCAGATTTGAACTCAGGTCCTCCTGATTCAGGGCGGGTGCTCTACCCACTGCACCACCTAACTGCCCCTCAGGTTCACAATGTTGAAGTCATCCTTGACTCTACTCTTTCCCTCACCCTTTATTTCCTGCCAGTTGCCAAGTCTCATACTTTCCCAGTCATCTCTCTATATGACAACCCCTGTAGTCAGACCTTGTCACTTGGACTATCCTTTCTCTCCAATCCTCTACATGTGCTAAAATAATCTTCTGAAATCACAAATCTGAGAGCATGATACTCCCCTGCTCAGAAACTTTCAGTGGTTCCCTATTGCCTCTAGGATCAAATGCCAACTTCTCAGCTTGCTGTTTAAAAGCCATCACAGTTTGTTCCAGTCTACCTGTCCAGGCTTATTTCATATTACCCCTTCTCATATACTCTACATTCTAGTCAAATTGGCCTGTTAATTGTTCTCCATACTTGATGTTCCATCTGCTTGGAAGGTCCTCCTTACCCCCTAAGTCTTAGAGTACCAAGCTTCTTTGACCTCTTGGCTCTGGGATCATCTACAGAAGGTCTTTCCTAAGTCCTCCTGCCCCCAATTTGTTAGGACTGCCTCCCTGAAATTACCTTGCACACCTATCTGTGTACGTGTTGTGTCCTCTGCCTCTTCACCTTCCTCCACGTCCAATGTCAAATTATTGAGAGGAAGGACACTTTTCATTTTTGTCTTTGTATCTCCAGTGCGCTGTACACAGTAGAAACCTAACTGAATGCCTGACTACATTGCATTGAATCAAGTGACTTGACTAGAGTCACCAGGCTAGGGTAGGAAATGTCAAAGGGCTGTTACTTAGGTCAGCTTCCTCACCTCAGTCAGTCAGCAAACATTTCTTAAACACCTATTCTGTGCCAAACACTGCTACGGGCTATTAAAGGGATGTGACTGCCTTTGTGACCTTGGGCAAGTTACTTAACCTCTCTGACCTTCAGTTTCCTTGTCCATAGGATTGTAGATTTTGAGCTGCAACAGTCCCTTAGAAAGCCACTGAGTTCAAGTACCTTATTTTACATATGAGGAAACTGAGGTACGTGAAGTTAAGTGACTTGCCCAAGGTCACACAGCTAGCAAGTGTTATGTGGCAGGATTTTTTTGTTTTTGTTTTTTTTTCTGTGGTAGGATTTTAATTCGATCCTTCCCAAGTCCAAGCCCAGTTTCCTATCCGTTTTTCTATGCTCTGTTGTTCAGTTGTTTTCAGCTGTGTCCAACTTTCTGTGACCCCATTTGGGGTTTTCTTGGCAGAGATACTGGAGTGGTTTAGCATTTCCTTCTCCAGCCCATTTTACAGATGAGGACACTGAAGCAGACAGGGTGAAGTGACTTGCCCAGGGTCACCCAGCTAGTAAGTGTCTGAGGCCAGATTTGAACTCAGGAAGATGAGTCTTCCTGACTTCAAGCCTGGCACACTATCCACCATGCCACCTAGCTGCCCTTATTCTGTGCTACCTCTTAGTAAAATAATAGAGGTTTGGACTAGATGGTCTTTGAGGTCACGTTCAGCTAATGATCTGTGGTCTTGTGATCACAATGTTCCACGCTGTTTTTTTTTAATGTTTCAAAGTAAGTTTTTTTAATATCACTGTAATTTTCCCCAATATCCTTCCTCTTACTCCCTCACAAAACCATCACAGATGATAAATAATATGTTCATAAAAGACAAAAAAAACCAGAAGGGAAAAAATCAGCATAACTAATCAATGCATCAGAAGAAATCTACAAATATGTACAATGTGTAACAGCTGTGGACCTCCTGCTGTCTGAAGGAGTGGAGGAGGGTGTTCTCTCATCATCTCTTCTTTGGAGCTGTGCTTTTGCTTTGGAATTCACTTGATTTTCTTGTGTGTGGTTCCATTTACGTTGTTTTCCATTAATTTTTGACTGCCCATTTTCTTCTCTATCAGTTCATGTAAATCTTCCCATT